TATAGTTTTATGTCTACTTTATTTCATATTGTTGTTACTGTATTTTGGGAAGAGATTCCTAGATGCAGAATCAATGAGTAAAGGGTAAATGCTTATGTAATTTTGCCGATGTTACCAAATTCCCCTGCATTGATAGTCGCACCATTTACATTCCCACTTGTGTGTCTGGTATGCCTGTTTTCCCACAGGTCTGTCCAAAGAGGAGGTTGCTCAGGTTTAATTTTTTTTTTTTTTGTAACTTGATAGGCGTAGAATGGTTTCTTAGTGACGTTTTTATTTGCATTTTTCTTAGGCCAGGGTTGACCGTGTTTAGGGTTCATGTCATTTCTTTCTCTGCAGACTATTAATATTTTCTCCCCATTTTGCTATCAGAATATTTGGTCTCCTCCTCTTCTGTCTCCTCTTCTCTCTTTACTATATTGGGGATATAAACCTTTATAAGTTGCAAATATCTTTTCCCACTTTGTCATTTGTCTTCTGATTTTGTTGATGTTTTTATTGCCATGCAAGAGTTTTTTTCCAAAATTTTATGTAATCAGAATTATAAATCTTTCATTGTTCCTGAGTTTTGTCTTATTTAGGAAAGTTACTGCCTCTTCTCAAGATTATAAAGGAATTCACATTTTTTCCCTTCTAGAACTGGTTTCTTTCATTTTTTACGTAAGATAGTTGATCTGTTTGAAAATTATTCTAATGTATGTATGGTTGAGGAACAGATCTAATTCTGTCTTTTTTCTTATGGCTCTCCAGTTACCCAAACATCATTTATTAAAAATAGACCATATCTTGACCAGTTATCATCATAGTGTCAGTGCTTGGCAAATTGTGGGCTCTCAGAAAATGTTTGAATGCTCATTCATCTCTTAAAATTTCAGTTGTCATCTATAACTCTAGAAAGTTCTTTAAAAGTGTTTGGAATTTATTATAGTAGATTTAGTGAACACAGTATGTACTAATTATACAAAATATAGTATAAACCTTGATATGATGCTTATTAGTTTGTTAGTGACTTTATTGTTCACCGATTTTAAACCTGGAAAAATGGAAAAATACAGAAAAATAAGAAGAAAATAGATATTCCATTTTCCAGAAATCACCACCATTTCTTTTTTTACGTAGTCATTTTCATTTTTTTAAAATATGTATGGTTGTGAAATATGAACCATGCTACATTGTTTCGTATCCTGATTTTTTTTTTGGGGGGGTGGCTTAATAGAGTATATAAGTGTTCATCTGTTATTAAATAGTCTCTGAATCCAAATTTTAAATGACTATAATAGTTTACTATATAACTACCATAGTTTATTTAATCTCTGTTTTAAATTTTCTATTTTACTTCCTCGATTATTACCTTATAATATATTCTAGCTGTGAGCTGATGGTTCATAGGCTTTTGTTAAATATTTTTAAGTTGTTTTTCAGAAAGACTTTACCAGTTTACACTGCCATTGGGGGACTTTCTCATATTCATTACTTGTATAGACTGTTTATTATTTTAATATCTTCCAGTTTGATAAAGATGGGACCTAGTTTCTAAGTGCATTTATATGACTACTAGTGAGGCTAACTATATTTTATTTATTGGCTGATTTCATCGTTTGTGATATATTTATGGCTTATGGTCAAATTTCTTTTGGAATATCAGTGTTTCCTTACTGACTTGTAAAAGTTCTTTATATATATCAAGTTATTTAGCCTGTCAATTATTATAAATATTTTCTCAATTTATATTTTGCCTTTTATCTTTTAATTTTATGGCAGTAGTTAATTTTATGTAAAGGTTAGTATTTTGTTTATCTCTTTTCTCTTGATTTCTTTCTCTGTTTGATTTCTTTTTTACTCTAATCAGTAAAATTTTTCCCCTGCCCCCTCATTAGCATTCTTAACAGTACCTGGAATGTAATAGGTTCGATAATTGTTAGTACAGTATTGTACTTACTTTGCTCTACCTAGAGTTTATTTTTGTAATAGTATGAATTAAGTAGTAATCCTAAACATTAAATCTGAAACATTGGCCAATTTTTCTATTAAATTATGGAATATTAAATTTTGTTGTTCATGTTACTAAGTTACTATAAATGTTAGGGTCTCTTTCTGGTCTAATTTTTTTTTTCTTGGTATAACTACCCAGTTCTTGTGTCAGTACAAACCAAACACATTGTTGCTTTATAGTAAGTTCTTTATCATCATTTTCAGTATTTTCTTAGCTACTGATACCTTTTTTCTGCATTAAATTTTTATAATCATTTTGTGATTTCCATCCATGCACACTAAAAAATCAGGACGCTTGGTATTTTAATCTTGCTTTTGACTGATTTTTGAGGTTTTTTTTTTTTTTAAATTTTTGAGTTAGTTGATTTGTTGGGTGTTATAGAATAAGTAAATATATATTTTTTCCCTTTTCAATACTTATATTTCAGTTCAGAAATCATTGAATTTGAATCATTTAATTTTTTTTATGATGCTGTTATCTTTTGTTTTTTCAGTGTTTTAGGGTATCGTCTAAAGTGAGATTCAAATTTAGAATCTGTAGGATTCAGTTTGAAGTTGAAATAATTAGATTAATAACAGACTGAAACAATTGCTTTAAAACTGTTCGTTAGCTCACATTTGCTGTGGTAAAAGGGCAGGAGGAGGGAGAGACAGTTTCCGTAAATGCAGGAATGTTCTTTCTCCTCCTCTGGCAAATTGTGTCTTGGAAGTAGTAAGGTTTATAGTTACATTATGTTTAGAGGAGGGTGTGTGCATGTGTCAATGGGAGTGTGCAGTGATGGGTTTCTTCTTGAAACTCAAAAGGTCCCTTTTTAGTATTTGATATGTGTGACCTGTCTTCTGAGTAATGTTTAAGTGCTAACACTTATACTCTGAGGTATATTAGAAATGTGTAGCGGGGATATTAAATCTGTGTTACTTTAATAGTCAGATTTTGTAGTTAAGCAATAAAACCTGGGGGAAAAAATTCTGGAATCAGCTCGATCAGAGGATTTAACCATGTCATCACAAAGCAGTAGTGACTCACCAGTAGAGTGGATAAGTGCAGTGCTATCTGTTCTATTAAAAATGATCAATTGTGCTTCAAAAGAAGCACCTTTTGTAATATTTAAGTGCCACATGCTGTTTACAAATGTGTCTCAGTGCCCAGAGGGGTAAGAGATAGGCAGTAAAGCTTATGCTTTTCTAAGGTTCTGGCCACCAGATGTCAACAACTGAAAACTAGAAGACAAAGTATCTGAGAGATCAGATTTCCTTTCCTTTCCCTTCTCTTTACTTACACCTAACATCAGGTGCCCTCCAGTATGCAAAAGTGGTTGTGAGGCCTGGAGGCCCTGGCAAAAGATGAAGGATAAGCAGAGAATAGAGGACAGGCCGTTTTTGCTTAGGTTTTTAGACCATAACAGGTGTCATATGTGAAATATATAGGCTAGTATAATGGTTAAGGGTGCATGGTCTTTGAAATGGAACCCCACTGTTTTGCTGGTTGTAGAGGTACTTTACCTCTTGCATGAGTTTTTCTTTGCCATCTCTTAGTGTTATTTATAAGGATTATGTGAGATCATGTATATAAAGTGCCTTAACAGAGTGTCAGGCACACAGCATGTGCTCAATTAGTACCTAGTTCCTGTTGCCGTTGTTATGACTTTTATAGGTGTTTTTGGTAATAGATATTAATAATATTCCAGTTTATAATATATATGATTATGCTGTATACTAAGAGGTGAGAAATTTAAATTATTTACTTGAATTAGAATTTCATAATCTATAACTTTAATCAAAATAAAGTAGTGGAAGTATTAAAAGTTTGGGTACTTTTATTTTCTAAATTATCTATTTAACACCTAGAGCATAAAGATTATTCTGTAATTTTTCCTTTGACTAAATGCAGTGCTGTCATTGAAAATTATATTTTCATGTATAGTAAAAATTATATAGTACTGGGCCTGAGAAAGGCACAATTAATACTTGGTGAAATGTTTAAATATGATATTTTAAAATATAATACCAAAATTTATATTTTGCTGAAGAAATCAGCTTACATATTGTTGAGTGGTAGGTCAAATATAAATTAAAAGTAGAATGTTTATTTTAAAATAAGGATTTTCAGCAGTACTAAGAAACTTTATTATTTGGTCTAGTGTTCTTTGAGAACTCAGTATCATTGAATTAACATCAGTTTTCAAGACAGTATTATTATCAGGGATATAGAAATGATTTTAAGTTGGTGAAGTAGAAGGAATTTAGTTGTCTGTTGACTTGTTTTTCCTAAGTCAACTTTTTAAAATTGAATTTTTCCAGAAGGACAATACTATCTTTTAAAGATCTAGCATTATGATCATAAACCATCCTCGACAAACAGTGCTGGGGTTCTGTTTCTTTACACATGCTCGTGCATGCACACAAGCATACACATACACCTAAAGAAGTCTTCAGAGGTATGAATGAGAGAATTACTCTGCAGCGGGGGAAGGATTCTTTTTTTCTTTCCTCACACTTAACCTAATTTAGTATTGTCCTCTTATGTGTGACTTTTATTTAGTAATTTTGGTTTCTAGTTTTAGTCTTTTTTGTAATCATATGGAAAAATTAAGTGAAAAACAGACTTACCAAGAGCTGGGGGTGTCATATAGCTCAGCTTTCAGAATTACTTTATGTAGAATAGAACACGTAGACTACTCAATTGAAAATGGGAGATAAATTGAGTATAAATAGGATTCAACGTATTAAATAATAAGTACTTAAAGTTTCTGTGATTCTGAACTTTATCAAATGTTACAATTCTGTTTTGTTGCACTATCTCTTCAGAATTGAATCAAGGATAAAAATGATCGTTACTAGAATTAGGATAAGTAACATCGTTACTAAATTAACATTGATAAACTTACATACTTGTATGAAATAAAAACACCATTTTAAAGTTAGTTGGTTTAGTATTTCCTGATTTTAAAATTTGTAATGGTGCCAAACAAAATTGCTATGAAAATATTTTTACCATAACACTCAGTAACTTTTTCGTTTACCTTTTTTATTAAAAACTCGATAAAAGTGCATTGTATACATTGTTCATCCTAGAATCAACTGTTCATCAAATATTTGTAGTTTTCCCTCATCGTCCCCCCTCAAAGGTTTTTAATTGGTGATGCAGAATATTTGTCATCTACCAAATTAAAAACTGCAGGTTTGTAAACTTGGCACTCAGAGAAAGAAGTAGGTGCCATAAAATGATTAAGTATTGGCATGTGTACACCTGCTGTCAGGAAATAAACTTCCCATATGTTGCAGTTTGGCAGACATGCATCTTAAAAATGAATTGAATGGAAGTGAGGCTGCACTCTTTATTCTTTATCTTCTTTCAACAGCACCTTCTCTTTGTGCCTGTAAGTGATCACTTTTGCTTCAGTTAGAGGAACAGGATATATTTTCACAGATATGCTTGAAGAGTGCAGTAACTGATCTAATGGAGTAACTCATTGAAATACTAGCTTGGCCCTTAACACCAATGAGGAAACAGGTTTGTCTATTTTGAAACATTTAATTTTTTGTTTCTATAAAAACTTGAGCCTGAGACATACTGATTTTTCACATTTTATCATGTCATGTCAAAATAATTTCCCCCGATATATGTGAATATTAATAAAAGAAAACAAGTATCTCAGTTGTTTTTAAAAAGTAAATACTTAGATGAGAACTGCATTGATGAAATGTCTGAACTTTACAAATGCAGTTCTGGAATAACTCAGCTAAATCTTATTGCATGGGGGGACAGTTTTTAGAGCCTTAGCATAGTCAGGTCAGAAAATTTATCCTTTGCACAATTACAAAGTTTGCTTAAAATTGACAATAATGTTTTATTTACATTTAATTATATATTGAAATGAAAACCTGAATCTAAAATGAAGGGTCTTTTGACTTTCCATTTCTTAAATTGAAATTTATGTGGGAAACAAATGCAAATACATCTATTGGCCCCTAACATAACACTTGAACCATTGATGTATGCATGCTTGTTACTGCATGTCAACACACAGAATCTTCTTAAACATGTTTTTTAAATAGATTCTTTCAGGATACTTTTTTGTATGTAATGTAGTTTTTAGAATTACCTTCTTCAGAAATTAAAAAAAATATTTTCGAATTCTTTTATGTGATGAATTTTAACTAAAACTTGTCCTATGGGTGTAATCAGTTTTAACTATACATGCTTTTAGCAATATTTTACAGATCGCATGTTTGAAAAAAGTTGTCTTTTCTAGTGCAGTTTGCGGTGGCGGTACCTGCCTGCTTTTTCCTTTGCTGCATTGGCACAAGCGTTGTGCTTGTTTTGTTGTAAATGGTTCCAGTATTTTATCAGTTCACTAGGCTGGAACTGATGAGAGGTAATTAGGTGGCTGTATTTACAGCTTGAATAAGAAACTCGCCAGTGATTGAACACAAATTCATTGGGAGGGGGCACAGGATCAATTCTCAACTTGGCAAGACAGATCCCTACGTATACATCTTCCAAGTGCAAACGACGGATACTTAAAGAAACTTTAAATATCTTTTCTGCCAGATCTCCAGAGAAAACATAACCAGTCCCAGAACAGAAGACAGGGTAGCGCTCGCTCGGGTAGAGGTCTGGTGGCATGTACCATTTGCTGTCTTTGTTTCGATTGGGTGCATATCCTCTCATTAGATAACCAGTAAAATAGTTATGCCTGGGAGGCAGGTCTGGCTTCAGTAATTTATGTATTAAATATTCAGTGTTGACAAACATGTCACTGTCAGTTTTCATAACATATGGAATATGTGGACAGTATGTTGCAACCCAGTTCATGCCCATTAGTGTTTTAATGGTCAAGTTATAGTATGTATCTAAATACTCCTGTTGAATTATATCATGGTATTGTCTGCTTTCTTCCAGTATTGCTCGTTGAATGTAGTCATTTAACTTGATACTTACGCCCAATAAAAAAATCCGTGTGATCGGGACCCCGGGTGCCAGGCTCTCGTTCCCCCAGGTCTGCCGGATCGCTCGTCTGGCTTCCGCCTGTCCCGGTTCTGCAGCTATCAGCAGCAGTAGAAAAGGGCTTTTCTCCTGACATTTTCCAGGTTCATTGATAATGTACTTGAAGCGGTAAGAGTTTGGATGCCCATTACCTTTTTCACTGTACATAGTTCCATTGGCACTGAGTGTATTCTCTAGCCCTGTGACTCCTTGTGGCGACAGGTCTGTGTTATTGGAATTGGTTGCTGTTTGAGGCCTCAGAGTTTGAGGAACTGTTTCTTTCCAAATGTTTCGAAGTGAGCTGTGGTTTGTCTCACTTTTTGTAGAACGAAATCCTCGGAAAGTGTAGGTCACAGGGTTTTCTTTGAATCCAGCCCTTCCTGGTAGCCAGTCATGGTGATTGAAAAACAAAAACACGGCAAAAAGAAACACTAGAGAAAGCACACCAAGGAGGTGCGTGCGGAGCAGGGACCTCTTGGCACTCCAGCTCATCTTTGCAAAGCAGCAGTGTCTTCTCCTCCACTGAAGCATGTTGTGTGTTCCCAGGAATGGGATATGGTACACTGGTGGCTAAAAGTGTTGTTTCCTTATGTTGAGTTGATACTAGTCTTTGGTAATCATTTTCTCATTCGGTCACGTTATCTCCCTTGCAGTCATTCTATAGAGGTAAAGCATAAAAGTTTACAAAATGCTAATTATTACAGAACTGCCTGAAAGAGACTTCAGATGCTAATAAAATTAGGGCAAATAGAATTTCGAATCTGTGAAAATATAACCCAGGAACGAAGGTTATAAATTATTTCCCCTTGTCAACATAACATAACATTACCGAGAGCAGGATTAATTTCTTTAAAAATATACCTTTGTAGCTCAGTGAGCACTTTAAAGAGAGGTGATGGATTTATTCTGTTACACCTACTTTACTGTGTCAGTAACTCTGGTCATTTGTACGTTGGACCTAAGTTAGCGATTTAAAAGTTGTATGCATGTAGAAGAGAAGAATGTTACCAGATTCCTGAGAGAGGCCATGTAAGAAGGCCTGAGAACAGGTGGAAAATTTATTGGCATTAATTAAAACTGATTTGACATACCATCAGTGGTATGGTGCCCAGTCAGCGGCCTTTTTTGTAAAATGGTCATGTATTAGTTGTGGGACAGACGGAGCAAGGTTGATTATGGCAGAGTTCTGTTAGTCACAGTACACTGCTTGGCATGTTTCCATTGGCCCCTACTGTGCTGAGAAAGTGAATGAGAAGATGCACCTGTCAAAATTAATTTTTAGGGTCCAGTAACTTCAG